TGTGTGTGTGTGTGTGTCTGTGTGTGTGTTTCTGTCTGTGTGTGTGTGTCTGTGTGTGTGTGTCTGTCTGTGTGTGTGTGTGTGTTTGTGTTTGTGTGTGTGTGTGTTTGTGTGTGTGCCTGCCTGTGTCCCTGTGATGGACTAGCATCCCGTCCAGGTTGTCCCCTGCCTTGTGATATGTGCCTCCTGGGTCAGACTCCAGACAGTGAAAACAGTGAGGCTGACTTCACTGCATCCCGGGCTGTATGAACCAGGATCTTCACTGCATCCCGGGCTGTATAAACCAGGATCTGTTCCTTTGATTCCTCTGAGAAGGTGGAATGGGAGGTATGTAATATGGCCATCAAGACGAGCGGCCAGTGTGTGACCACTGCTGGGTCACATGACGTACCAGCACTGTCTGTGGCAATGACGTCCACGTTATGGGACAGGATGATCTCCAGACAGTCCAGGCGACCCTGGGCCGCACACACATGGAACCTGACAAGAACAGAGAGCCGTATGCTGCAGCATCTGGAGAACGTGAGCTCAATTTCTCAGTGTCACTGGGTGATGAGATCCAGAGGTGGAAAGTCCAGCTCCAATTTCAAATCAAGACCAAGACTGTGTTTCAACCAACCAGTTAAGTATATAGAGTCAAAGTCACAGAGTACTCAACTGGTTGGTTGAAACAAAATCTTGGTCTGGCTTTGTATTTTCTGGACCTGAACTTTCCACCTCGATCCAGACTGCACAGAGTCAGAATCTAAATGAATTAAGATGCATCTACTCACGCCGACTTCCCCTCTCCATCTAGTTTGGAAGCGCAGAGTCCTTTTTTCACCAGCAGGGCGGCGACTTTTTCCAGGTCATTCTGCTCCACCGCCTGCAACAGCCTCTCGTCGCTTTTACTCCAGTCCTGGCTCTGAGACAGCACGAGCGCAGCGTTCAGAACCAGGTCAGAACTTCACACGCAACTAGGTTGAGTCCACGTCGGTCCACCAGCCAGCACCACAGCACACAAACAGCTGGAGGCATGAATTAATCTGGAACTCTGCATTTTCTGCCCCAACCCACCAGGTCTAACCTGACAGCCGACCCATGGCTGTCAGTCCTTCTGTCCGCAAGGTTGACTAAGTCTAACAAAGCTCGACTTATAAACAGGACATTCCTACAGTTAGAAGGAAAATATCACGAGCCAGTTTGCTGCGCACGGCTACCTCCCGCCATCCTCTCTGAGATCCCGGCCCGTAGAGGGAGGTACGTACCGCAAGTCCGCAGAGACACGGGCAGAATCGCTTCATGAGGCACAGCCAGAACCGGGGATCCATAGAGGGGGGGCGCCGGACACAGAGCGGCAGGTTCCTGGCCACCGCGCCGCCCAGCGCTCATGGGAGTACACGCATCGCAGCACGCAGACTAGGATGGGCACGCCCGCACGCGGCCGGAGCCCTGCGCAGACCCCCTCAAAGAGTCTCTGCCCTTCGCACGCATCATAACCCCAGAGATGGCCCTCGTGCACCCACAGCAAAATTCACACAGCCCGAAATAACTCTCAGGCAGCAATTTAAAGTGCGCTCACCCCTCCCGAAGGCTCCCGGGAGGCGTCACTGGTCTGAGAGAGACTCAGACATGCGGAGGCATGGAAGGCCTATGGATACAAGCAGGTCCTGTGGCCTGGATGCTACACGTTCTGACAGAAACATCGATGTCCCCTCAGAAAGGTACAGACACACGCAGATACATGCAGACGCACGCAGACGCACGCAGATACATGCAGACGCACTGGCTCCTCACAGCCCGACTCTCCCTGCTCAGCTGTCCTGCTGCTCCGAGCTACGCACGCATACTGCAATCAGCACATTCACACACACACACACACACACACACACACACACACACACACACTCACACATAGTCCCGCCTTTGGTGTCCTTCTTTTTCACATCATAACCTAATACTGTCACCTCATACCCCCCCCCCCAATCCCAGCCTGAACATTTGTTTCTGTCCATTTTCCCCTCCCTCTTACAGCTTTATCTGGGCTAAGCTCTCTCAGCCTTTTACTATCCTGACCTGGAAGCTCAGTAAAACAAAGGAACAAATATAGCTGGTGAAATTGGGGTTAGAAGAGGAAAGGTTAGCGTCCCGGCAGCATGACCGCCTGCTCTAGCTGATCAGTCACCGCTATGCTAGTTAGTAAAGCACATCTGAGCTGCACAAGTCTTACCGGTATTATAATGACATTGTGTACAGTACAAGCCAGTCTAAAAGCCAGCACATATGTAAACGAAGAACAGAGTGTCAAAAGGTGAAAGGAGAAGCAGTGTTTGGTTTAAACATGGTCTTGGCTAATTCTGCATTGGTAACAATGTATTTCAAGGCAATAAGGTTTAATAAATTGAAGTCATTTCAAGGCTACTGCCCTTGCGAAGGCTGCATTTCCGTGCAACAATGGAGACATGCAACATGAGGCACACTGCGGCGGAGCCCGGATAACACCATTAATAAGGAAGATGACCAATCCAGGAGAGTCCAGCTGAGTAAAGCACCATCGCACCTGCGAGAGGAAGGTGCCGTTTGCCATTCCCTTCATACAAAGAGCAGATTTCCTGTCAGAAAATGATTAACTACAGTCCCTGTGCGGGGCTGTGAAGACATAGGCGCACCAAGGTGATCTACATAAACAGGGCAGGTCCCAAGGGTCTTAAAAGCCTACGCCACACAAAATAAAGAGGAACAGGAGACACTCTGCACAGGTAAAGGATGCCACCGGTAACCTGAGACACGAATGAGGCTATTGTTATAACTGCTGTAGTGAGAAAGGATACTGATAATGTAGGATATAACGGCTTCAGAGAGTAATGAAAGCTTTCTGCCGCGTTTGAACACTTTCTTGACTTACTGTTAAAAATATTCAAACAAAACAATGATGCTGAGACGCGTCATTTCGGCAAAATGAAAAATCATGAATTTTCATTTTTTGAGTAGCTTTTGATTTGAACTCTTACATTTGAACTCATGAGGACTGAAATTATGCTACAAAACCATTATTATAACATAAAGTTGGAAAAAAAAAAATCCTGCCAAGGAGATCATTCCGGCAACCACAGGATTTCAACAGGCGACCTTCCGTTAGCGGCCGCAGAATCCTAACCTGCTGAACCAAACACTGCCCCACCATGAAAAATGTTTTATTTATAAACTATAAATATGTTTTATTTATAGTGGGTAATACTGTTATTGTTATGGCTGATGGTTCTACGTAAATAATAGCTACCATCCCCACAGTTGGCTTGAGCCCCTGTTAGCTGCTGATTGACTGGCGATGATTAGTGCTTTAGTTGTGCAGTAATGGCAAACGCAATCAGCCTTTATTACGGCCGACCCCAGACCCCCGTGGGAGCTCCCGGCTTGTCACCCACATTGTGAATAATTCAGGCCTGGCAGAAGTCTCTGGTTACCCCCTCGGTCTGCAGGCCTAGCTAGAGTGGCCCGCAGCTGCTCTGTGAAACAGACACCCAGCTCGCAGCCCCCCGCCACTGGACAAACTCACCAGGGGCTCCCTTTCGAGGACTGACAAGAGATGGCTACAGGAAGACTTTGCGGATACTTTCAGAAAAAGGAGAGTTAAAAAGTACACATGCAATTTGTTGTTTTGTCATTTTTTTTCATTGAAATGCCCTAGATTACTACGGAATGTAGCAGTGATATTGCCTGTGAAAAAATGCAAGTGAGAAATTCTTGTTTTCTTACTTCTGTCTTTTTAAACTTGGCCTTTAGGCTTTTCATGGTCTTCTAAGGCAGCTGGATTTCACACTCTGAAAAGAGAAATAAAATTCATTGACTATGTCATATTTGATACTCAACATAATTATTAATATATTCTCTTTCACATTATCTTTTGCATTTAAAAATCATTTTTGCAATTTAGTATTACCTTCAATTGATGCATTAATATAGAAACGCCTGCTATGTTTGGGTGATATTTCTTTACCGTTTCGCCGCGTTGGTGAGTGTCCCGTCTCAAGTGCTCCAGCCTGAGTCAGAGATCGAGCCTGTTGGATTTACCTGGCCCAGGATCTAACTTCCACCAATCATCTAGCTGACAGGGGCCGGCCCTTACACTGACTGGCAGGTGAAGCTACGTCATGTAGGCCTATTCCGTATATATACCTAACGATAGTTAATTAAGTTAATTCTTATGAATTTCTTATGAATCGTTAGCGAGGAAAACAATTGTTAATTTTTTATGACTGGATTTATACGAAAATGTTTTGTACATATGTTGAACATTTTATAAGATAGGAGATTGTCTGTAAAGTAGTGTTCAAAATTTTTGACGTTTTATTGTACTTTTCAACAGCATTGGACAGGGATATGTCTTTTTGGTACAGCTTTTAATTATATTAGGGAAGTGTCACATTCATAAGCAACGATGGGTTCTGAACCGAATTTTATTTAAAGTTATTTAATAATTTAAACATTATTATTGTTATTATTACTATTATCATCATCATCATTATTATTATTATAAACACTATATATCGTGTTTCTGAAACAATCGAATACATAAAAATACGGCAAAATGTAATTGAAAAACGTACAATGTACAGCATAACACGAAAACAATCGTAAGCCAATAAAATGAATGATACTAGTGCAACAGCGATCGAAAGGGGGCGGGATGTCCTAGCCGGAAGTGACGAGAGTATTACCGGAAGTGTGCTCTGGCTTAGTTGTGTGGCTATTCGGATAAATACACTATATTTTTATACGTTTTTAGTTTTGCCAAAGTCATGTCTGAAAGGAAGGTTTTGAATGTAAGTGTTTTTTCTTTACGTCTGTCGCTACAATTACTAGCTTAATCAGTTTTAACTAACTGGCAAGAATTTAGTTAGCATTTTAGCTAGTTAGCTTCTTGGGACAGCTAAAGAGTAAAAATTATTCATTAAGGACAAACTTATTTCGAAAGTATTTTATTTTTTTCCGCTCAGTCGGATTGCATTGATTTTGTTGAAATTAAGTACTCCCTACTGCCTAGAACTTGCGGCACGTTATTACTATTGCATTGCTGTGCAAATGTAAGGTGTTTCCTTATTCAGCTGCACTTTGATACATAAAGTGTTCTGTGGTATTTAAACTGTAAGTGATGCTGTGTTGAAAATGTCAGGTATTCGCCATGATAAATACTGTATGTCGCTATAATGTATAAATCGTCCTCTGTTTCCTGTTGTAGAAATACTATCCACCGGATTTCGATCCCTCAAAAATCCCCAAACTTAAACTTCCGAAAGACCGGCAGTATGTCGTGAGGTTGATGGCACCCTTTAACATGAGGTAAGATGTTAAGATGACATAACACAGATTAATACTAGACAATCGTTTATTCAAGTGTCAGTGCTTTTTTAAATCTTCCACATGGCTGGAAAGTGACAGCCCCACTTGTACATTTCCTCCCTTTACCAATATTCTTTTTACAATGTTCATCCCGTAAATAGCAAATCAGTATTAATAGGAGGGAGCAAGTGGTTTGTTGTTTTGCATTATGAAAGATGCTGAACTTTGACTGTCTCTCAGGTGTAAGACATGCGGCGAATATATCTACAAAGGAAAGAAGTTCAATGCCCGTAAAGAGACTGTTCAGAATGAGCTCTACCTGGGGCTGCCGATATTCCGCTTTTACATTAAGTGCACACGCTGCTTGGCTGAAATCACCTTCAAAGTAAGACTGCTGCTGCTCTCAGAAATAATGTTTTAATCCAGTATTTGCCAGTCTGGTCCTCGGGGACCCACAGCCAGTCCACATTTTTGTTCCCCGTAGGAGCAAAAACGTGGACTGTCTGTGGGTCCCTGAGGACCGGATTGGAAAATACTGTGTTAATCTGCTGTCACATTTAATTTCTGCCACATATCATACTAAAGTCTACCGTGTGATTCATTAGTGAAATATTCTCTGCGTTTGGGACGCTCACCAGCAACGTGCAGGCGATGGATCTTTAGCTTTTCCTGTCTGTCATGTGACCCGCAGATGTACTGTATGTCCTAACAAACAGGTTTGTGTGTTTGTTCCACTTCAGACCGACCCGGAAAATACAGACTATGCTATGGAACATGGTGCTACGCGCAACTTCCAAGCGGAGAAGCTGATTGAGGAAGAGGAGAAGAAACTGCAGAGGGATCGAGAGGAAGAGGAGCTTAATAACCCTATGAAGGTACGTTGGCACAGCTTTTAATTATCATTGGCCTGAGCTTTATGGTGCTGTCGCTTTCACCCAGCACCCCAAAGGTTTTTGTGGAATCGCATATTATGAGTGTTACCCTTTGTGACTTTTAGGTTGTAATGTGGCTCCATTTTCCATGGGGACTGTGGCTCAGTGTGTAAACTGTGGTTTCACACTCTCCCCGTGTCTCTGTGGATTTCTCCTAGGTGCTTCAGATTGGAGTTTAGGTGAATTGCTGTCTCCGTTGCCCGTAACGTGTGATTGTCGAGCAGCAATAGCCCTAGATTTTTAACACTGAATTAACTGAATTTTTTTTTTTTTCCCAGGTTCTTGAAAACAGGACACGCGATTCCAAGATGGAGATGGAGGTTCTGGAGAATCTGCAGGAGCTGAAGGAGCTGAACCAGAGACAGGCGCAGGTGGACTTCGAGGGGATGCTGGGTCGCTACAAGGAAGAGGAGCAGCGTGAGAGGGAGAGGCAGAAGGAGGAGGACGAGAGGGAGACCAGGTGAGAGGAGCAGTTTGGCTGAGGTCAGCGCCCGCTGGGGGGGGGTCAGGCCGCAGATGAAATGGCCAGTGTTTGTTACAGGAACACCATTTTCTTACCTCAAAACCCCTCTTCATCAAATACTTAGTCTCTTTAAAAATATTATTTATGTTTATTTTCTTGGTCAGAGTAAATATCTTTTTCACTGGTGACAATGTAGGTAAGTTCATCTGCATTGAAGGTCTGAAAATGTATTTAGTAATTTAGAAATAAGAACATCTGGGAACAATTTTAGGAAACCAAGGTCCAGACACTCGGTGTATAAATTTTATAATATTGGCAAACCCTTGTGAATTTTTCATCCTTATTTAAAGTGTAGAAATTTGTGAATTAACAATTTCTCCCCTTTTAATACAGCTCTGGAAAATTTTAAGAGACCACTATATTTTAAAAAAATCTGTATTTTTTAATCCTGGTTTAATCCTGGTTTAATCCTGGTTTAATCCTGGTTTAATCCTGGTTTAATCCTGGTTTAATCCTGGTTCTGCTGGCAGAAGGCTATGAGGCAGCTGCTTCCAGGCTCAAAGTTTCTAAGACAGCAGTAAACAAGAACAATGTGAAGGAGGAGACACTGGGAACAACCACTAATAAGCCAGAACCAACTTTCTAATGCCAGAGATGAACGTCAATTTATCCAGCAGTGTCTCATAAATCGGAGGATGACCTCAAGTGACCTTCAAAAAGAATGGGAAACATTTAGTGGTGTGATGTCCACTGCTAGGACAATCACAACAGGCTGCTAGAAGCAGGACTGAAGTCCCATAAAGTAAGGAAGAAGCCCTTTGTTAATGAGAACCAGGGAACAGTCAGGCTGGAATTTGCAAAAAAAAATATGTATATTTTACACAGGCACATACCCATAAATTGAGAAGTGAGTGAAACTGAAAATTTTACAGTGGTCTTCTAACTTTTTCCACAGCTGTATGTCAAGGCTGAGTTTTTCCTGGGCCGTAGTCAATGCCTTAATGCAGCACCTCACTATGCACGCCCTGTGGAAGCCCCTGGTGACGACTGACATGCCTTCCCCTGTGACAGGGAGATGCTGGATAAGGCCCTGATCAAGAGGCTGCGGGACTCAGACTCGGACTCCGATCAGGAGCGAGAGCAGACGAAGAGGACGGTCCGCCAGCAGGGCGGCGACAGACCTACGGACATCCTGACCACCAGCGCACAGGGGCATGTGGACTCCAAGGTACAGGAATGGGGAACTTATGCAGCGTGCGTGCAGTCGGAGGCACCAAATGTCACTGTACAGCAAGGATAAGAGCTGGTGTTTAGCAAGACTGTTAGGAACTCGTCCTTGTAAATCAAATGAACGCTGGCTTCAGCTTCAGGTGGAGTACTGCTATTTTGCCCCCAGGTAAATAGCTTTAACTGAATGGCTGCAGTAAATATTTTGTAAGATGCAATCAGCTGCATAAGAATACAAGTTGAGAGGCATATTAATATGATAACGGCATATTTTTGTAGAATGGGCTAGGTGTTCGGGCATGTCATAAGATTCGAGGGTTGAATTAGCCAGGAAATGAAACCAATATGCGACACTTCATTTCCAAAGTCGCCCCCGGTGACGGGCTGCATGCTGTCACGTCTCCCGAGGTGGACAGAGTTGTCTGGAGCCGTCTGCAAAAAGAAATTCATTCTCAATATGGCCGACAGATGAAATACAATTTTGCAGTACAGCCGAGCTTTATGAAGCGTAATTCACCTCAATCAGTAATAATGTTTTACGAGCGAAAACATTGTCCATTTGTAAATGGGATATTGGATTGTTTAGTGATGAACAAATATAGATTTAAAAAAAAAATGGGCTATACAATGAGGAAAACCATGAATACATAGTTTTGGTTGAAGATATTGAAATGTATCATCAGACCCAGATTTTCACCCCCCCCCCCCACTTCACCCGCCCATGTTTTTGCAGGTGTTGAATTCTTCCAAGGGAGGGGTGAAACGTTCCCGAGTGGAGACGTGGGAGAGGAGTGTTGGGGGACTCGGTGGCGGCCCACTGGGGGCGCTGGTAGTGAGGAAGAAACCAGGATCTTCGACCCAAACACCCACAGCTCCCAGTTCAAAAGCGGTCAATTCCTCTCAGCCAGGTTTGGGCGATTCTCAGCACTCCCTGGGCTTCCAGGAAGTATGATCCAAAATCAGAATAACTGTATTTCTTCTTTAGCATAACACTGCATGATTCACTCGCACATATATATATTTTCGCATGCATAGTTTCCGATAGTATAATTATGATACTGATGCGACACAGGCTGTATATTACAGAGAGATGTTTCTCAGCACGGGAGTGATGTTGACAATGAAAATGGCAAAATAACTGTGTCACATTCATCTGACTGTGAATTTTAATATCCTGATGATGATAATTCAATACACTTTCAGTGTTTAGATCATTTCAGTGTTTGAATGGGTCTTATTAAAATTGATATAGCGCAATAAATATTGTAGCCAATTTGGGATTTTATGTCAGGTACCCATTAATGGAATGGTTGTATCTCTTGATTTCTGTTTACACATTTATTTCCATAAATGTAATGGAAGACACAATGCATTCAATTAACTTTGGTAGAATTATTTCTCCAGTATATTTTAGTTCAATTTCAACACATCCCTCTATTGGAACTCAGGGTTATATGAGAGATGCTGAGTAAATGGACTTTCCAATGAGATTCTCAGCGCTCCCTGTGATTTAAAAAAAAAAATAAAATAAAAAATCCGTTTCTAGATACTGTCCTTAGACAAAGCAGATGCAGTACAGCCAGATTACCACCAGGGGGAACATTTACATAACAAACCACCCGCTGCAGGGATTTATACATTTCTCTGGATTAATTGGTGCTTTTACTCAGTGATGAATGTGTGTGATTTCCACACTGGGTTAATAAAGCATAGTGCTGTGGGAATCTGGTTAAAATAGCAGTTGATGTTTTGGTATAAATGAAATGCCTTTGTTTATATTTAAAGTCTGCCGTCAGTGTAATATTTTCATGTTCCCCCCCCCCGTCTCCTCGACTCAGACCCCAGCCTGACAGAAGCAGCTCTTCCAGCTGACCCCCGCCCACCGGGCCCGGCCGCCTGCAGCTCCTCACTCAGCCTGCTGGGGGCGTATTCCGACAGCGAGGACAGTGAGTGAGGGAGCCTCGTCTCTCGGCTCCAGGGCACATTTTCTTTGTTACAAAGAAATCGGCGTTGGGGGGGGGGGCACACCGAGCACACGTGCACTGTGCTGTATCGCAGATCTCTCAAGATGGAGGGAGGACAGCCCACTTGTGACATTTTTTTTTTTCATTTTGTTCTTAATTAAATGTGTTTAAAGAACCAGTTGCTGAAAAGGGTAATCTTGTCTTTATTTAATGTTCACTTTGTGATGCTGCCCTGAATTTATGGGTGACCTGCTGCTTCTTAGCCGGTCACTCTGAGACACTGGTCTGCCATCCTGCCTTTCCTCTTCTGCGTCCGTCTTTAGTCACCGCTTCCTCTGCTGGTCCTCGAGCCCCTGATGGCAGGGCGGAGATGGTGCTCGGGGAGCTGGGGGAGTCTGTGTGACTTTACCCCCCCTCCTTTATCTCCAGGGGAAGGGTGAGATCATGGCTCTTGTGGGGAAGCTTTAATGGGCCCTTTATTGCCTGAGACGCCACGGTGTGCATTATCAGGGAGGACTGCGGGGGAAAAGAGGCATATAAAGTGCATTTGGCAAGGGGGGAGGGTTTGGGGCTGTGCTCTGTCCTTTGCCTGTGCACCATGTCACATGTGCAACGGGATGGGGGGTGTGTTACCGTTGGTGAGTTACCCTGACAGTGTGTGAATGGATGTGTGAGAGACGCTTCATTTGCCTCACCCCCCCACCCTCAAGCTTTTGTAAATGACAAACCGGCTAATTAAGCCATGCAAATCAGGGTATTGTGTGTGCGTGTGTGTGTGTGTGTATGCGTTCGTGTGCCGAGAGCGGGGCGGCGGCTCCAACTGCAGCGCGTGTGACCATATGGTTTCCTTGTTAATGCATGACACGCTGAAGTGGTTAATCACATTGTACAGAAATTCATCCAGTCTGAATTGGACTGGTTCTTCATGAGGACCAGATGGCAACCAGTACATTTCCCATTTATATTAATATGAACTGCTGCATGCTGGGATTTGGTAAAAACCTTGCAATGAATGCATCCCCTCAAGTACTGTGTGTGTGTGTGTTTGTATATTTAAAAAAATCTGTGAAACAATGCTTCATTGAGTTTAACATTTGACTCATTGAGGGGAACAGTTGCTGTCTCAGCGATGACTACATGCAGAGGGTTTCCTGTCTGGTTACTTTAACCAGATAAAATATTTCTTGCTGTGTCTTTAGGATTCTCTAATGGATCCATCCAGAGGCCTTGGTGATCATGGGACATGCTCCAAATATATAGCCATATATTAGAGGATTCTTGCGGTAAACTGGGCATATTCAGTTCCCAAACATTGTCATTTTTGCATAGTATTTTATAAACTCGACTTCATGTGCTTGGTTTTCAGTGTCCTTTGGGATTGTGTCCCAGTGCCCCGCATCACTTTATTTCTAATAAATAGGATACATCCGATTGACTGATTACTGATTAAGTGCATCAGTTTAAACCTTATTCATCCGAATGTTACAGTTTTGAATAGCATCATGCTCTTTGTGCCGACCTGCAGCCATAATCACAGTCAATGACGGTTTTTCAAATTTACTATCCCACTCAGGGAAACTTAGTTGCAGTTAGGTGTTAAAAACATAATCCATCATAAATGCAAGATAAAAACATACCAGATTGAACACAAGGACAGCATTACTGTACAGTACAATACAACATGAAAAATGAGCCAAGCCGCAGAGGGCGAAAATACTTGGTGCCATCATTTCTGTGAAACCATTTGTGTCTTTGGTGATTATGTGTGCCTACAGAGATGTAATGCTCGTGAAAAACCAAGCATTCTTGCAAATACGCAAAATGAGTTTGAGATTTAGGATAACACCTTTTCTGGTATTCACCAGGACAAAGGTGTTTCTAATAAAGATAATGTCACTTACGCCCTTAGAACCGGGAATATTTAAAGCAGGGTTTACCATTTCAGGTTCTGGAGGGCCAGAATCCAACAGTTTGCAGATTTCACTGCCGAAATCTTAATGTTTGAGTAGCGAAATCTACAGACTGTTGGATTCTGGCCTCCAGGACCAGAATTGGGGAGCCCTGATTTAAAGGGCCATTTATTGATATTTAACATTTAAAGGAAAACTAAGCTATGGAATTAAGAAGTGGCCAGAATTGCAGAAGTCTATCCATTGTAGCTGTGCAGCACAATCGCAAATGTGATTCCATTTTACATGCTCATTGTTCCAGCACAGATGGTAAGCCAACATGGACTGAATCGTTATTCAACGCTTATTCAGAAGCGGCGTAGTCAAGTACTGACGGTACCCCACTGTGTCTGCTGCATGTTGTGGACCTACTGGCAGACACAAGCTCTCAGAATAGGAAAGTCAACATGACGTCCTGCTAGTTCAAAGGAAATTGTATTAAATGCATCCTTGACTAGGAACATTTGCTTCTCACTGGGGAGCACCTCAGTTCTATAGAAAAAAAATCATCTAATTTTCTTATCAGTGTCAGCATTGAATTGATGTGTGTGACTTTTGAAAATATGTGGGACCCATTTTGCGATTTAGGTTCTGTAGTTTCCTTAGGTGTATGAACGGATAATGTACGGTACCTCGTACGATGGATGTCAGTGAAACTACAGCCGGCGATTCATGCTGGAGCACTGATGACATGGAAATGCACAGGATTTTTAAATGTATTTTCTTGGTACAGATTTCTACGTCAACAAGGACCAGTTACAACACAATTCTCAAATTTCAGTAGAATTGGTCTTTAATTGCAAGAAAAAACAGTGCAGGCAGGGACAGCTGCAACAATAAATGCATCTGGAAATAGATCTCGCCGACCTTCAGGATGACTCGCAGCTCAAATTGCACCTTGTAACAGATCATTTTGTTTATTAGTGCTTTGCTTGGCAGCAAAGATTTTCTCCACCACGCTGCTGAACGCCTTTCACAGCCCCTCGCTGTCATCTGGACAGATGAATAATCTGGTTCTCTCTACATACCAGACAAACTGCCCATTTCCATGTGCAGAAGGTGCCAAAATTGGTTATCATACCTGGGTATCTATGTTTTTCTCAAGTGGGCTTCAGACAGTAAATACTGATGTTCGACGGGTTTTTCTCAATTTTCCAGTTATTGTTCTAGCTTTGGCTTACAGTTACATACAATTATTTGTAATTTTCAGTCATTCGTACAGTTTGAAATGTCTTCTGGGATACGATGCCTGTCTCTACTTGCCAATCGAGCTTTGTGAGAGTTGGTTCTCCGCGGCCTGTATTTGCTTAAACACCACTACATACATACGTAAGTGCATCTAAATTGTTAAATGAATCACACTGCTGTTAATCGGTGGCATCGATAAAATTTATCAGAAAAACTTTGTGGAGATAGGAGGATGCCAAGAAAACTGCTCTCGTAGAGTGTCTTGTTACAATGTTTGTTGACATTGACCTTCGTTAGTGCCAGGCAATCAGTCCAGAAGATACTGGTGATGGAGAACCAGAGTGGGTAATCTCCAAAGCGATGGGAGGGAGCAAAAACGTGAACTGTCTATGGGTTCCCAAGAACCGGGTTGGGAAATGCTGCCCTACATGCATGTTCACCTTTGAAGTCTGGCTACACATCTATCCTACATCTAGTTTAGCATCTTTATTATTTTATCCTGTTCCTCATGACACAATGTGTGCTGCTTTTCATTCTTAATTGCCCCCGACTGTAAATTTGAATGCATTAACTGTTTAAATCCTATTATCATACCGGCAGGTCGGGACTGTTTATTTTTTGGATATGTTAAATCTTATTTGCTAGTTAAGCAATACCCAAGGGAATGCAACAGTCTGCATAATAAAGCGGTTTCTTTGCAGCCTGTGTGGAAAAGGCTTCCTGAGCTACTTTGTTGATCTAGTCACATAACAATGTCCCCCCCCCCCAAACAGTTCTGAGGCTCGATTCCAAAAAAGGACACCCATTGCTCATGAAGCCGTGCACTGATCCAGGCTGGGGATTAGACTCCCCAGTCATCCACACCGTAGCAGCGTCAAAATGCACCGAGCAGCCTAATACCAACCGACAAATGTCAAAACAGTGAGCAGTCAGGCAAAGGAGATGCAGCCGCAGCAAACCCTAGGGAGAAGGCAGCCTCTCCCCAGGTCCACGCTGGACCAGATGCAAACAGGACATTCATCTTATATTGTACATCGACCCAGTCCTGCCGCCAGGCAGCACAATGGCTTTGCATTTCTTATCTGCCAGTTACTTATAAAACAGTAAATCGATGACACCTGTGGTGATGCAGACCTGTATCTACTACACAATGGTACAGGAAAGATTTTTCATTTCTAAAAATAATTTAAAAAAAACACTGCATATCTTAATATTTAGAAACTCTGCTTAAAGTTTTGTTCCAATTCTCTTGAAAATTGTTTTCAGGTGTCAGAAATTTGCAACATTCATACCCCCTAGTCACACAACCTCACTACATCAGTCGTTCTCCGCAGAAAGTGGGCAGCAGGCTGGTTTTTCATTAACGATTCTCATTCCATCCTGCATTCCTCCCTCTGTCCCTCCATCTACCTTTCATTCCATTTTTCTGCTGTAATCTACCTCGTGCTCCATTCTTTCCACCAGAACTATCCTGCTCAACAACCACCATTTTACTGTCTTATCTCTTGATCTTCTGTTTACTGACTTCCAAGCCAGCACAACTTTACCCCAGTCCTTGGCCCGGGGACCGTCTGTGTTGACAGAACAGAGTGGAAATAAATCCTAGACACACAGTCTTTTGGTAACTTATCAGAACCTCATGTCTTTGTCTCATTCAAAGTCTCCTTTGCTACGGCAGCCTTTGAAATAATCTCCAGTCTGCTGTCAGTAACTTACAGAATCTCCGCATTTACATCCATCTTTATACGTCATCCCTTCTCTGGCCCTAGATGGATTTGCGTTCGTATTTAAAGAAATCGTAAATGAAATCGGCATCTATTTTAACATAAATATATATTTACATCAGTAACTACAAAACATACATACCTGAATTTAGTGATTAATTGTCATTGTTGACACACCACACAACAACAAAATATGTCCTCTGCATTTAACCCATATGTGACATAGCAGGGGGCAGCTAATTCAGTGCTTGGGGGTGGTACCTTGGTCAGGGTACCTCAGTGGTGCCTTGCTGGTCAGGGATTCGAATTTACAATCTTTCAATTACAAGTGCATATCCCTAACCATTAAGCCACCACTGCCCACTATAAAATAGATAGTATATATAATATAGAGGAGAACATTTGTAAATAATTCAGGGAAGGAAATGCTACATTTTCATTGACTCAAATGATTCACCTGTAAGTCATACAGGCACACTGAAATCACAAAATAATCCGCTGTACGTTTCTTTTTTTTGCATTAAGAATTCGTGCGCGATTTCTACATGGAGCCCGTGGCCGTTATCCAAGGGGTTGTTCGAAGCAGCTATTCCTGGCAGCCGCCCGCCAAGATGCGCGCTGCTGATCCCGATGGGAGAGGGCCAGGCTATTTGGCTTTCATCGCAGTTGTCCTTTGTCCCTGAAACGAATCAACTGGTACCGACGAGCGTGAAAATTAAATGCCACTCCGCTCTTCTTTTTGTATTTGTGATAGGCCTGCAGCCGTACGAATTAAATGTCGGCGAAGAATAATAAGAGGTATCCATTGGCGCTTTCACTCTCCTTTAAACGGGGTGGTCTCGCTCGTTCTCACCCCCGCTCGTGTTGCATCGGAGGTCGGCAGTTAGTCTCCTTGCAGGCTTCGGCACACTTTTGCGGGAGCTAGTTTTACACTCCCCTCTGGACAGAAACTATTTTTAATAGTCAGATTAAATAAAAAAACTATTTTTGAATTTGTTATTAGGACATCTGGAATGGAGGAGCGGAGTGTCAATCAATGAAATGCGTGAAGGTTGGTATGGTTAACCCAGGATCGGTTTGCAAGCACTGAAACGTGATTTAACTAATATGTGATCGCCTGGTCATTGTCGTTCCCCGGGAAGGAGAGGGGCCTTTCCTTATTCCGGAGTCTTTAGTGTTGTGGGAAGCTGTTGAAAGCTTTTTTAAAACTGCAATCTTCTGATAGTCACGTTCGTATCGTTGCATCACAGCTGGTATGCAGTTCGTCCAGAAGTTTAGCAAATCGGACGCGGTTGTAAAAGGTTGGTAAAAGCATTAAATTGAGACATTTATTGTAAACCCGTACAATAAACACGTAGAAAACTGTGTTATGTGGGATACGTGAAGGCTGAACTTTTAACAGTTTGTTAGTTCAACTCTGTTTAACGAGAATTTTTGTACTTTTTACGTCTCGTTTTTTTTTACAGTCTGGCATTTGTAGGGTTTCTAACTGCATGGAACGAGCGCTGTAATTTATAAGGATGCCAGGTAATAGCCCACATTACCATATTAACAACATTTAATGATAACCGAAATAATAGTTTTAATTACGGGGGGAAATGAATGTCAATTAGTTGTCTGAAACGTCAAGGCTACACTCTTTGAGAAACGTTATCGGCTTGGAAAGAAGGGGACCTTTTATAAAGGAAAAGGCTAGAGGCAAATGTTGTGACAGGCTTAGTGATAACAGGAGATGGGGACAATGGAGCGCTGTGGCACGGATTACATTTAAGAAACATTTATCGTTTTTTTTTTTTTTGGCAGGCACGTTTAAACAGCTGTTATTAATAAGTATATGGAGATGCACTCCGAAGTCCTTCCCAAGCCGTCAGTCTAGACATTTCCCATTTACTGGATCCGCAGATCGGTGCCAGCTGTCGGGACTGTATGAAAGTGTGCGAGGTGCGTATCTATGAACACATGGGAGTCTGACTGCATGGGAGGAACATTCAGCCGGATTTACTGGCGGTTGCCAACCACTTCAAAATCCCACGGATGTAGCCAGTTCGTGCTTATTAAGCTCCTGTGCGCTTTATCCTCAGATTTAAAATACGGACAACGTGTTTCCCTCAAAGAAATCCAAATTCTTTGATGCCGGGTTGCTGAAATAAGGTGCAGACTTTTCCCGATCGAGTTGCCTCTCACTGTCCGGCAGCAAACCTCGGTGCGCACGTTTTGGGGGCTGCCGTGCCCTTCTCGCCGGACAGATGGCAAAGTGGCTGAAAGATTACCTGAGTTTCGGGAGCAGGCGTGTGCCGCCGCAGCCACCAAAACCGGATTACACCGAAAGCGAGATACTCAAAGCCTATCGCATCCAGAAGAGCCTGGACTTCGAAGACCCGTACGAAGAGTCGGAGAAACGAGCTCGGAGTGAATCCGGAGCGGCGGATGTGGCGCAGCCAGGCTTCGGATCCCCGCTGAAGTCTGGCACTCTGGACATGAAGATCCTGTCTCCCAAACACCGACTCATCAAAGTGGAATCGCAGGACCTGGGCAGAAGCAAAATACTGCTGAGCGCTGTATCTATCGAGGAGCCACCCGTGCCGGTGAGTAATTACGGAAGCTCAATTACACACGTATGCAATTATGCATGGCGCAGTTGCAAAGCAACTTGGAGAGAGAAATTATAACGGTGCATGTTGTAAATGGCACTCCTCGTCATAGAAATAGTTCTACACAAATTTAACTTCATGAAATGATCCTTGAAATGGAAGTTCTTGGTCATTTTATTCATGCTGAGATGTGCTTTAACTGGGTAATATCTGCACGGCAGAAATTTCGATTTTAATAGACATTTTCGCTTGAAATCCAATATATAAACATTCAGCAGGTCATTAAACAATTCAAAATACAATCCAAGTCAGTTGGTGCTTACTGAGACATAAAATGGAGCTCTGCATGTAGTTTTTATCACCTATAAATGGATTTAAAAAAAAAAACTGATCAGAGTTAAAAATCTACGCGGAAACCATTAATCAGCGAATTATTCTCTGGGTTTCTAACTGGCGCTTAATTTATGCCCGGCATAACTGATTTATAATATGGGAAGGTTGTGAACGCAAATGGTTTTTAATTAGAGATGAGACGGCTCTCTCTCTTATCTTAGGTCGGTGCTTCGTGTTCTGATAAATAATGAATGAAGTTTGGATTTAGGGCACTCTCTGGTAACTGTGCTGGTAACACGGGTATTACTGCCCGCTCCCACGAGGTAAACAAAAGCTTTACCTTGTCAACTGCAAAGTGTTTATGATACTGGTATATATTGTATAATCACTTCAGTTATTTGTGATATTGATTTAAAAGAATTTGTATGTTCTCCTAATACAAAGTCAAGAATAGAGCTAATGGTTTTATGTCAGTTATAAAAAAATAAATTCATGCATTACTTCCCATTGTGTATATCTTTATGATCACATGCGCACACACACACACACACACACATTCACACGCTGACACATCTTTGTGGGGACAGTCCATTCATTTCTATGGGCATAACCCTAATCCCAACAATGATGACATGACCTTAACCCCTAACCAGCCCTAACCTTAACCATAAGTAACCAACCGAAATACAGGACTTTTGGCATTTTTAGTTTTTAGATTGCAGTCACGGATTTTTATAAACTTGAACTTCCCCATAATGGCCCTCACAATGTCAAAATAACAGATTTTTGGTCCCCACAATGCAATATATACATAACAGCCCCCCACCCGCACCCCCCACGCACACACATACGCACTTACACCATTGGCCCTCATAAAACAGGGTTTCTCACCCTAATGCTGAGGCAGGGCTGCTCTACCTACGGGTGCGACGGCTTGAGCGAGGTTTCCATTACTTCCTGCTCGACAAACTCTGCAGCACCGCCAGTAGCAAAGCGAATCTCACATTTGCCAACTGCTGACGTGAGCCCAGGCTGCATCCGAATGTCTGTGCTCCTTGACAGATAAGGTAGCTGATAAGGCAGATCCATGAAAAGTGCTGAATCCGTTGCTTCTGTGTCTGATACAGCTAACAGTATGCTCTGCCTCAAATATGAATTGGGGATCTTTGAGAGCCTTGTACCCATTAGCGATCTGTGCAGCTGGCTGCCCAGTAATTTGTCCCTGTTCTCTCTACTCTGGGAATGGTTATTAATTAATTGCAGCTTTCTGCTATCAATGACACTCTGGAAATCGCGGGGGGGACAGCATCAGGCGCCCAAGCACAGGCGTTCATTGCTAGAGGTTTCTTGCAGGGATCGGTTTAATCACCACGGCCGTTTCCCATGTGCTTTCCGAATATAACCGTAAGTGTCGGTCAGATGGCTTCTCTCGCTTTCTGAGGGATTGGCATTATTGAAAAGCACGTATATTGACTGATTTATTCACATATTAGCTACAAAAATAACACTCAGGGCTACAGGGAGCAGTGCTTTTGTAATGAGACCTGGCCAGTCATCTTAACAATGTATGTTATGTTACTTTAGGCTAAGTTGTGTTACATTAGGCTACGTTACTTTACATTAGGCTGCGTTACATTAGGCTGCGTTACGCTGCTTTAGGTTTCGTTACTTTAGGCTAGGTTACGTTACATTAAGCTACTTTACATTACATTAGGCTGCGTTACGTTACTTTAGGCTGCGTTACGTTACTTAAGGCTGCGTCACGTTACTTTAGGCTACGTTACGTTACATTTGCCTTGGCTTGGCTTTATTGTCTCCCTTAGGAAAAATTTGTCTCGGACATTCTAGTGAACACATGCATCCCAGTCTCACACATGTCACCTACACTAAGAACATTGCATAGAATGTTACACGAATGCCCTCCTTCAAAATATTGCACATTGCCTTCTACAGATTATACAGGCTATGTGTTCTAATTACGTTCTCTGTTTACACCTGCAGCGTTCTGCGCTTGATGTGTTGCCACAGTAACGTCCCGGCAACAAAGAACGTGGTCTAACGACATGGTTTCGTTTCTCAGGTGATTCCGTCGGCCCCCGCGGTGGGCGACACCGATTACTCTGATCCCTTCGACGCTCGATCGGACCCCAGGTCCGATCCTGATACGGAGCAGCTGCCCCCGGAGAATAATGGCTACATGGAGCCATTCGAGGCCCAGAGGGTCATTACAGGTGCACACAGGCCTTTCTGATTTCTGGAATCTTCCTTATCTTCACACTGATTACTTTGCACAGCCCCTTGTTCATGGTTATAGTGCCTTTCCTGTTCTGTTCTGTTCTGGCCCGGCCACGTCTGCCTGTTGAAATGGTCGTAATTCAGATTCTTCCACATGCTCGTTTTTGGTCCGTTTATCAGTTTGAGGTATTACTTTTAGCCAGTCGTCCGTCTTGGTTGTTTTCCCGGTCAGTACTGCTCGTGGTCATTTTTTCTCAGAATGGTACGAAGCCCGCAGTCTTTTAGATGGCAAACTCCGTCTCACTAATCACAGTAAGTCCTTCAGGTTCTGCTTACAAACAAACCAGCCGGCTTAGATGCATCATATGGCTGCTAATGGAAGCAGCCCTGAAACGACCCAAACCTTCAGTCTGCTTCGGGCTGCCAGCGGAGGCTGTTCCGCGCTTTGCCTGCTACTCTAGTTATGTGTGCAGATATAAACAGGATTTGTTCCCCTAATTAAATTCGGGGGTGGTGAATACATTTGCTGAAGGCTACCATCTCTCATTACTTTGAGCCTTTTTGATGTTTGCGGCAACAGTTAACTGTGGGTAAGAGTCTAATCCACACTATTGGTAGCCATTTTCCTATTGGTATTAGAGTGTGTGTTTTCCTATACTCCATAGATATTGCCTTCTGGGGAGAAAATCCTTCCAGAGCCCCCTGTTCGCCCTCTAAAATGATACCGCTTTTCTCTTGAATACTGGCTTCTCCAGCTTGATGTCCTCCTATCTCTGGAATGTCCAGTGTGGGCCTGAGCAGTGGAATGCAGTGACCCCGTGTCTCTGTCTGAGCGGCTTAACATCAGAACGAGCCCCCTGCTCCCCTCTCCTCATCTTTCCACCTCTGGGTCTATCCCCAGGGCATCCTCTGTTGCCATAGTTACAGCAGGGGGCACCCAATAGCAGAGATTCCTCTAAAGGTTAAAGTTTATCTCGCTTTGTCTGCCCCTTGTTCTTTCTCTCTGAACCTTCCTCCTGTGTTGTTCCCTGATAACGGCTAATGTTAAAAGTAACATCACATTTATTAAACATTGGGCATTACTGAGAGGAAAAGTACTCGATTTACATTCTGCGGTTTTACTAAAAAATTTTAAATCCCTGCCATACATACACTTCATTACATACAGTACATAACTGGTTACGACCTACTTTTTCTTTCCAAATCCATTTCAAGGGTAGACTAGCTGTTCAGAAAACCCTTTCTGTACAGCGCTGCACTGAGCTGTAATTTTTACACTTGCGGCTTTCCTGTTAACTTTAACAAGTCAACGTTTTTGACCATAGAAATGCCACTTATTGAATGTTTTTGTAAATTCCAGCGTGTAGAACTTACAGAAATGACATTGTGCATGAAAATCCCTGTAGAGTGGCTGTTTCTGAGATGCTGGAACCACTGAGTCTCACACCAGCAATCACACCACATTGAAAAATAGATCAAGCAGCTTAGCCATTCTGATACTTAGCCAAAAAATGACTGATCCTCTAGGCTCTGCTTGTGTGCTGTATGTACTCAGCCACAGGATTGGCTGTTTGTAAGGGCAGGCTGTTTGCATTAGTAAGCAGGTGTACCTAATAAACAGGCCGCTGAGCTTGTCGTGCTGGGACACTGGGAACTAAAACGCAAAAAATCACACATTGTGATGTAATACCAGAGACGGTGGAGGCTTTGATTGTTACAATGCCTCTGTGCTTAAGAGCTCAGCTCGTATCCACCTGAAGGATTAGTGCCTTAAAGTATCTCTGCATGAGCAGCAAATTGGTTCCTTCAGAATCCGGTGCCAGTCGGCAAGCAGTGTTGTGTTGTCATAGGGCGGGTTTTAGAAGAACGGACCGCTCACCGATCAGGTGATGCCACCTTCGTCGCCATGACACCATTCTCATGTCCCCAGAGCTGCAGTGGGCCCCGGCGGGAGGCCACCCAAGATGCGGATTCCAGCTGTATGACACTCCGTACGAAGAGCGGGCCCCGGGGGGCCCCGAGGAGGGCCGCGAGAGCCGCCTGCCCCGGGACGACGAGCGACCGGCTGACGAGTACGACCAGCCGTGGGAGTGGAAGAAGGACCACATCTCCAAGGCCCTAGCAGGTACACGCCCACCCGCCTAACCCCGCCCACCTGTCTGGTCCCACCCCCTCTGATGCCTCACCCCTTTCCTCTCCCATTTCCATTAGGCCATGTTCACGCCAAGACTAAATGGAGTCCTGAATCCGTCATTTAGCAACTAACGACTTCCAGTCACGCTGTTTTTTTTTTTTTTTTTTTTGAAGCATCGTGCTGGTCCACTGATCATAAGATCCATCCATTGACCTCCACTGACCCTGTGCACCCTGTATCTTCTTTTTCCCGGTAATGTCATCCAGGAAAGAAACAACAATGACGGCACTGAGTCCTGCTAGAAGTGGCTAATGAAAGCCCCTTTGGCTAACATGTAAATGAATATGGCCCCAGTGCTTTCTGGGATATGCTCCAGGCTCACAGTCACCCCGTGGGTTGATTGATTAATGGACGGATGATGGATGGATGGCCCCGGGTGTGTGATCGGTACCAGTGATTGCTGGCGGTAGCTTTTATGCTGGAAATGCGATAAGGAAAATCGTGAAGGATGATTGGTGCAAAGGAGTGTAGAGCCAACAAAACAAGCGGTCTGCAGAAATACTCTGTGACATGCCTGCTGTATGTAAACAAGGTGTGTTTCCAGCAGCGAAAGCACAGTGATCTCTGCCTCCTGCCGTTACGGGCCGGCGTTTCTGAGAATGACAAGTGCCGCCAGTGTGGGAGAGAGGCGGATTCCAGCAGGCGCCTTGCCTCTTAGGATAAGTGTACTGGCTTGATTGTGTTGCTATGCAACAATCTCTTTGAATATTATGATGGCGGCTGAATCTCCTGTTGCTTGTTCCCGCAGATAGCGTCTGTAGTCTTCACAACCTCCGTCTGTCGGTCTGTCTTTTTCTTTTTTAATTTATTTACCACATTGTAGTCACTGTGTGAACTGTGTGCGTGTCTGTGTCTCTGTCTGTGCATTTCTCTCTCTCTCTCTGTCAGTCTGTGTCTGTCCGCCCGCCTGCCCAGTCACACAGAAGCCCTGTGTGTGTATCTCCCATGGCTGTCGTGCCCCAAGCCGCCGGGGTAAATGCCCCCTTTGATTCGTGGCAGACGGTGGCATGCTGGCAGACGTGCCCATTTGGCCTCTGCGCGCTGGCGGCCGCGCATGTAACAGGTGGACATGCGTGTCAGTGGCCAGGCGTGTGTGGCAGGTGTGCGGGGGGGCTGTCACGCGTCGCGTGGGTCGGGCATACTCGTAATGGAGCCATTTGGAACGAGCTCTGAGCTGGGCCGTGTGACAGTAAATCAGCGTGGCCGTCCTCTATGCCCGTGTGCCCCCC